TTGCTCTTGCTAACACTGGTCTTAAACTCCTGGCCTCAAGTGATCCTCCCACCTTAGCTTCCCAGAGTGCTAAGATTAAATGTGTGAGCCACAGCAACCAGCCAAATGTCTTAATCAAACTCTAGATGCCCCCAAATCTGGGACCAAAAGGTGCGAGCCATAGAAACCAGCCAAATGTCTTAATCAAACTCTGGATGCCCCCCAAATCTGGGACCAGGTATATTGTCCACCAGAAATTCATGGCATGCCGACAATATGGAAGACCTAGTTTGATCAAATACACAATGGGAATGGTGAGATGTGGAGATCTTTTTGCTTCACATCCATCTTTTGAAGTCTGGAAATATGATAGAACTTTATTTGTACTTTTGGAGAAGGTTCTTCCTGCTTAGCTTTTTAGTTATATCTTGACTGCTCCATATCCAAGAAACAACAAATAGAAAATTGGTCCTCCTATCTCTTGCTTTGAAAAGGGCTTTTGGAGAATATTAGTAAAAATTAAGCTTATAGAGGCCTAATAAATTGAGTTCAAAGATGAAAAGTTCTAAAATTTTATCATAATTTTACGTTTGAATCCATAGGTGGGTAAGGATGGCTCAGATGTTTGTTTACATTTTAAAATAATTGATTTGGATTTTTTATTTTGTGGATGAGCATAAGAAATTATGCCAGACAAAATGCCATCTCAAAGATAAATCTTAGTTCCTCATAAGCAGAAGCTAAAAATAAAATCAGCTTGAGAGTGTCTGAAGGTCATTCTGAAACATATAACCTTTTCCAGGGTTATCACATGTAGTTGTGCTCAAGGTGGTCTAGTATTAATGCCATTAATATTAAGACTCCAGGGACAGTGAAAATGAATAGTGATTTTTAAAATGAGCTCCAATCCAACTGTGCTAAAGAATCTTTATACTGGTTCAATGTCAACTTTGTGATCACATTTAAATCCTGAAACAGAAAAGCCTAAAGATACATTCTATTCCAATTGGAGCTTATCACCAAGTCCCCAGAGCTGCTGATATTTTTATAATTTAAGCAATGTTCATAATCTACACTAAAAAGAGTAAGAATTTTGATAGCAATTACAACCTTAGGGCCCCCCCCAAAAAAATAAAAAAAAAATAAAACTAAGCAATAGATAAGTAATGAAATTAATAGTTCAAATGCAGGCTTCCTTAGTGATACCTAACCTTTCAGAACTTAAGTTTGCAAAATGCTTTAATACCTCTTCAACTTGCATGACAGCTAAAACATCTGACTTGCTGTCATCCTCTAATATCTACCAAGAGGGCATGATTTTTATGCCCCAAAATGTTTTCAAGTCATTTATGTGGACCCTTCCTTAGTTTACCTGCCACTGGAAAACAATTTGTAAGTATCATTTTCGTGGAATACGAAGAAAGTATATTCTTGCTGTGATTGTAGAAGTCACTGCTTGTAACCTTACCTTTCACGTTCCCTGCGTAATATCCAGTTCATAGTCCCAGACATCTGTTTCAACGCAGCGTGGAGGCATCTAGCCATCCCCAGAAGTTAGACGCTTACAAAAGCAGCCAACAGAGTTTCAGCGCCTCATCTCATTGCTTCAAATTTAGTTGAGCTAAAAAGGAAAAAAACCAAACCAAAACAAAACCCCCAAAAAACAAACCAGAAAGGCTTTCCATTTTTCCAGTTTCTGTTAACTGTACAACAGAAAACTCCAAAAACAATTTGGTGATTAAATGCCTTGTAGTCACCGCACGCTTTGCCATACACCACCGTGCAGAAAATCACAAAACAAGGCAGCCTGGAGTTATACGGGTTGACTTTTAATCAGTTGGCTAGGTTTGAATGTATTGCAGAATTTTCCCTGAATAAACACTTTTGGGTGGAATCAGTCATTCCTTGAAACATATTCTCAACTATTAAAAACCACAAACAGGATTAAATGTGTTGTTCAGCTACAAGCAAAAACACCCACATCCTTAGCCTGCCATGCATCCATCATCGCCCAACGTACCCTTGCTAGTTGCTTGCGATTCTTTGTTTACACAGTGCCCGGGATACTTAGCATATAATGAAAAGACCCAGGGCCCAGTGAATGGTTTGAGTTTTGTCTAATTCACTCACTGAGGTCCATCATCCAACCGTCCTGGAATGGGATACTTCTGCCTTGCTGAGAACGCGTGAAAATGATCCGTGAGAATTCCTTTGGTTGCGAGGAGAGCAAACCCTGTCAACCTAGCTCCCAGCACACAAATGGAATTTAATGGCATAAAGAAATTTCACGGGAGTCCAGGAAAAACCGAGCAACCAGCACTGAGAAAACGCACACGCCTGATGAAAGGCACACTCACTCACCTGGCTTCGTCCCTCCAACCCCGGCTTTTGGAGAGACAGGCTGCATTTCTCCCCGGTCGGTCGGTCGGTCGGTCGGTCGGCAGCTTTCACGGAGTCAACCTGCAAAGGCAAACCCGATTCACTCTCCGGCCGACCCACGGCCAGCCTTCAAGTCAGATGTGAGGCTTTGGTTTTCAACATGATGGAAAAATTGTGACAATTCTTAAAGACTTTCCTCAGACAATGCAATTATGTTTTCATGGCAAGATCATCAACATAAAACAGCATTTATTCAGAAGATAAGAGGTCGATCTCCTTATCCCTTAAGATATTAATTGAGCCTTAGTGGGTGTGAATCACACACTCTCTTGATTTGAACAGGGGAGGGGTTCTGGCCCGGAAGGGAGCACTGAATACCGTGTTCCCAGCCACGCAAGCGCTCTCCTCTGAGCACATCTGGAGAGACACAGCTGGAAGGGCCGGCACATTGAGCGTGATCCTGCCTCTGTGGAGGAGGATCTCCTGTTTGAACTGCAGAACTCGTGTCAAATGCTTGCAATTTGAACTCGAAACATTCCCAGTATTAGTTGTCCATTTTGCTCAGACACATCTTGCCTCCCAAATCATAGCTCTAGATTAGACATATTTTTTTTTGCTATTGTTACTTTGAACTGTGCACGTTGCTTATCTTTTTTCAAAGTAATAGATTAGTGTATAAAGATAAGTTTTTAAAATTCTAAGCTAAACAACCACTCCTCATAGTTCTTCCTCCCAGGCCCACAGGACGGATTGGAGATCTAGATCTGCAAACAATGGCTCTCATCATACAGTCATCCAACGATATATTATGATCATCTTTCCACATGTTTTTCATCTCCACAACAATACTTCAAAGTGCAGGGTGCTGTTCCACTGGCTGAAAGTAAGGTAAGTTATTTAATCATTTTCTATTGATGAACTCTTCTGTTTTCATTTTTTGCTATGTGAAAATAAACACCTGGTTGGTGTACCTGTACATTTATATCCACTCATATTTTCTTGATAGGCACATTTTTGTGCAATTGTGCAATATTTCCATACATGAGCTCATTTGAAAAACCCATTTGCAAAACATATATACCCTTCAAAGTTGAATTATAGAGTGAATATGTATATTGGGAAAATTTGTATAAATTTATAATACCACTAAGGTTGAATGTAAGTTTCCATTTAGCCCCTTTAAGATATGTGAATTTCCAGTTTGTCAACTGTATGTCAAAATAGTAGGAAAATAACAAAAACCTCACAGTATTTTGTGTGTGTGCGTGTGTGTGTGTGTGTGTGTGTGTGTATAGGAACTATTAATAGTAGTGAGGTTGAAACATTTTTGTGTTTATTGATTATTTTTCCATCTTCTGGAAATAGCCTGTTTATGCCTTTACCCACTATTGTTTTGTTAATTGTAAAGAGCATTTTGGGGCTAAGGAAACACATTAACTTCTCGCTTCTTGACACAGTATGACCATCTATTCCAGATAACAGCCTCATTTTAACCTGTATATGCTGCATTTTTTCATACAGAAATGAGTGAAATGCCAAGATTTTCCTTTGCACTTTCATTTCATATTGTCATACCTAAAAATACCTTCCACCACAGAAGAGTATTAAAAAAGTCACTCATTTTTTTTTTCATAGTGTTACAGCTTTGTTTACTATATACACATTTTTAACCTATCTGGAATGCAGGTGGTTGTGTGGTGTGAGGTAGGAATCCAGTTTTCATTGAATGACTTGCCTTTCTGTGGCTGGGTTGGTGAGCTGGCTCTCCCAGCCACTGCACCCATCTGTCTGGTGCTGTGTCCTGGCTTTAAGTCCTCCGTCTATTCCAGATTCTATCTATTCTGCCTTTCACGACAGTGCTCTAGCCCTTAATTTCTCCTGTTGTCATTTTCATTTTTCTGGCTATTGTTTCACTCCAGATGAATTTTAAAAGTCAGCTAAGGGAATTTGGCTGGGGTTGCTTTGAATTGTTGCAAATGAATTTAGGCAGTACCCACATGTCCACAATATTGCCTCATCTCACTTAGTGACACTTTATGCTTCTGGAGTCTTTTGGTTTCCTACACAGTTTGTATTAGTAGCACTTGCTACAGTTACTCTGGGAAATCTAATTATGCTGTTTGCTACTACAAATGCAGTTTTTTTCTGATGTACTATTTTCTGAGTGTCATCTGGATATAGAAACTTTTTTACAGAGGTCTATTTCTGAATTCTTGTGTTTTCTCTAATGAACTCCAATACTTTTCAAACTGTTCTATAATGTTTTTTAGTGACTAGAACTATCATGGGACTGTTGAAATATTTTGATGATAGCAGAACATTTCTATTTATTTTGATTGTGTTTAAAAATATTTCTATTGCCTCACGGCTTAGTGTGAAGATGAGATTTGTCTTGTGCCACCTTTCAGATGAAGAATGTAGTAAAAGTAGTAAACTCTTCTGACTTTACTAAGGAACTTTGTTAAAGTGAATGGTAACTTTTCCAAATGTCTGCTTTTGTACAGTAGCAGGAGAATCTAATTGCTTTGCTGTATTGTTTTGACGCTCATCAATGTTTGCTAATGTTACCATGGATGCATCCTCAGATTGCTACGGTGCAACACTGTCATGATGTGCTCTTGAAGCCACAGCTGGTTTCATCCCTGCACTGGTTCATTCTGCCTATATTGGACAAGTGCATACTGGCATGTGTCCACCATTACAGCACCACACAGCGTAGTTGCACTGCCTGAACACCCTCTGTGTGATGCCTGTGCATCCCTGCGTCCTCCTTCAACTAACATGTCAAAAAGGTCTTTCCGGCTCTTGGCCAGGTAATCCATTATATAGAAGGAACTTTGGAGGCAGGGAAATGAGTGTCTATTAGCTGACATTTCGTATCTCCTTGCCTTAATATTTAAGAAATGATACTAATCTAATTTTTGGCAGATGTGGCACTTAAAAAGATCTCTCAGGGCCGGGCACGGTGGCTCATGCCTGTAATCTTAGCACTCTGGGAGGCCTATGCGGGTGGATTGCTCAAAGTCAGGAGTTCAAAACCAGCCTGAGCAAGAGTGAGACCCCTTCTCTACTATAAATAGAAAGAAATTAATTGGCCAACTAATATATATAGAAAAAATTAGCCGGGCATGGTGGTTCATGGCTGTAGTCCCAGCTACTCGGGAGGCTGAGGCAGCAGGATTGCTTGAGCCCAGGAGTTTGAGGTTGCTGTGAGCGAGGCTGACGCCACGGCACTCACTCTAGCCTGGACAACAAAGTGAGACTCTGTCTCAAAAAAAAAAAAAAAGATCTCTCAGAAGTGGAATTTTAAAGGTTTTCTCCAAAACAAGGCTATGTCCATGTAGGATGTGTGACATCAGAGTATATATAAGAGAGGTCTTTTAAACTTCTGTTTGCTGTTCGGCTGTCAGTGGACTGAAACTAAGGAGGCAGTGGTTACTGGTTCTGCGACTGCTCAGGAAGGAGAGGATGGAACTAGAGGCAGACCACGGTCAGCAAGGGGAACAGATGATCTTCTACTGCTGTGTTCTCATGGCCATGCGCTACAGTCGCACCCAGGCCCCCTTTTCCAGTGTGGCTGTGCTATGTGCTCCTGTGACACTGTGCATACTTCCTGCAGCATAACACACACACACACACACACACACACACACACGCACATGCACACACATGCGCACACGCATGCACATAGATTTTCATTATCTTTGGCAGTTATGTTCTATAAAGTCACCGTGAGCACTGAATTACTGAGTTTCATCACCCTCAGTGTAAATACAGGGCAGGTGCCTATGAACCTCTAGTCGCCACATTTTCATCAACCGGCCAATACATGACCTTGCTTTGGGTGTTTCTGTTTAAAGACACCTTATTTCGTATATAGTGTTGATTCATTTGTGTTGAATGCACGGCCAACAGCTCCATGGCTCATGCCTGAACTAAAGCCAATCGAACACACCTATTTTCTCTGCAGAACACACTGCAGCCTTTTTGTGCTTGGCAACATCAGACGGTGATTCAACACAATTCTCAGGTTCATGATTTGAAACACCAAAATCACCAAGAAAAACGCAGAAACGTGAACAACGTGGGTGTCGGTCCACTGGACATTTTCGCCACTCCGTGTCTGTGGAGGAGTGGGAAAGCACGAGATAACAAAGTGCAGCGAGGAGGCACGCTTGCACGTGCGGAGTCTATGCATGATGGGGCTGGACTCTGTGTGTCTTCTACAAAAGCCTGTGGGCTTCCTGAGTGTAGGGCAAAAGCATTTCCCGACCTTGTTCCTATGGAAACAGCATCACGCTTAACACAGGGTAATTGATAGATTAAATTATTATTTTCTATTTTTTTATTTTATTTTATTTTTGAGACAGAGTCTCACTTTGTTGCCCACGCTAGAGTGAGTGCCGTGGCGTCAGCCTCGCTCACAGCAACCTCAAACTCCTGGGCTCAAGCGATCCTCCTGCCTCAGCCTCCCAAGTAGCTGGGACTACAGGCATGCGCCACCACGCCCAGCTAATTTTTTCTATATATATTAGTTGGCCAATTAATTTCTTCCTATTTATAGTAGAGACGGGGTCTCGCTCTTGCTCAGGCTGGTTTCAAACTCCTGACCTCAAGCAATCCGCCCGCCTAGGCCTCCTAGAGTGCTAGGATTACAGGCGTGAGCCACTGCGCCTGGCCCTAGACTAAATTATTTTTAAAATTTTTAAATTATAGAGTTCTTTAAAAAAAAAAACACCTGGAACCCAAAAATATAAACCCAAATAAATAAATTGGCAACAGTGGGTTTTCTTTGTTGATCTGTGTCCTTCTTTCATCTTTTATCTTTTGAGTAGGTAAGTGAATTTCATGAGATCGTATCACAAGCAAGTACCAAGCCTCTAGAAATGGCGAATTTCAGATCCTAGGGTCCTAGTTCAGTGTGTTTTCCCCTTATCCAATCTGTCCCATCCCCTAGGTGCTCGTACAGTGAAAGCCAGTGATGTTACCTCTCCCAGAAAACACCCTATGCAATTCCTAGTTACCTGCCACTTTCCTGAGCTGTTTGCAGTGTGCACATGCCTAATACGTAACAGCTGGTATCGAAATGACTATTTCACTGCAAACTGTAAATTGTCCAGTCGGTGTTTCAAATCCCCTTTTTCCCATCGGGAATCATTTGGTAAAATAGCCTCCTGGAAGTCATTAATCTCTGCTGTATGCGGAGCCTTGTTAGGGAGGAATGAGCCCCCATGATCAGCTAAGATGCATGATTTAAAGAGACCCACACCAAACTCTGCCACTAACGTAATTATCAATGTAGGAGGTCTTTTGGAGAGCTTTCAACACATTTTTGTCTCATAACTCACCCCTGTATGCAGTTATAGGAGGTCTGTGCTTACATGCTTGAGATTTGATAATGTAAAATGAAGCAAAATTAGACCTTAATCTGTGTCAACACCAACTACATGAAGTTTTCAACATACTCGGCGCCTGGCCCTGGCAGAGGATTGGGGTGATGTGGCCAAGAGGTTCCATATGTCTGCCGGCTTGGCTTTCCTTTGCCTGTAAGTAAGGGCCGTGGGAGAAAGCGTACCCCTAGATCCGTAGAACCCAGACACTGCCTGGGAACACATTTTGCCTTTCACAAACCCAATCCTGGGGGAGAAATGCTGACATACACAGGGTGACCCAGAGAGAGATGATCACTGGATTCTTTCATCCATCACCTCCTATAACCACACAGGGAAGCGCTGTGTGTAAATTTCAGGGTTCTGCCATTTACCATAAGTGTCCAGAGCTTGTTTCCTGCCTTGCATTTCTATTACCTGCAGACGTGATTGCAACGTCACCTAAAGCGGTCAGCTTCTCTTTGGCTTCCACTCTCTGGGTGAGCATATATTTCGGAGAGATCATATTTCCACGTAGAGAGTTGCCTAAAGACTCATTAACGTTGGACCATCTTTCAAGTAGAAATGTCTGTGTTTCTCCGGTGATGTTGCCTGTATCAACAGTGGGGTTAATTAGTTTGTATCAGATTGAAGACAACTAATTATCTGCAGTGAGCTTTGCCCAGAATGAACGTAACTTTTAGAGTTTTAGCCCCACGGCATCTAAGTAGCTTCTATATGAATTTATCCCGTACGTATAACGCATCACCTTTTGACAATAGTGGGGCAGTCCTCTGGAATCAATAGGAACCCTATTCAGACATATTTGTGACCTTGGTTGGTGATTTGAAGATTATAGAGGTACCTACACGTTCTCCATCTATACACTAGCCTGGCAATGTCCTGATCACTTCAACTCTGAGAATGTGGTTGGAGGTAGATCCAGCCTGGTACTTAGTTAGTGCCTGAGGGTTAACCAGCATTGCAGTAGAACGTAGAAATAAATACAGCACAAAAGAGCTGGATGTATGGAGTTTAGAGTTAGGAGATCTCTGTTCTTGTTTTGTCTTGATACCCTCTTGCTTGTATCTTAGAACAAGTCATTCATCTCTGAAATGTTGTCCAACTATTCCACCGTCCACCATTGCTTGCTCCCAGGGTTGTGATGAGGAATAACATAAGATGTGGTAAATGTATATTTTCAATACATTTTTTAATACATCTTTTAATTGAAGAAACCTAAGTCATCTAATATTTAAATAAATGCCTAAGTATTTAGTGTTGTATACTATTTTTTAAAAATGCTCTATCTTGTGAATGATAGATTAACTAGGAAGATTTTGTGTCTTTCATTGTTTTTCATTTGTCTTTACACTGTAAACCACTACACAGAGTCTTGCTGTTATTACTATGTGATACGTTGGATTTGTTAATTTTCATATACTAGCTTTCTGGAAGAGTGTTGTAGATAGTTCCTCTAGGACTCAAAATAAACATTGTTTGGTGTAGCAGTATCCTAATACTCACACAGTAACCTAAGACTATTAAATCTTTGGAATCATTTTAGTACATTTGGACAAAAATACAGTTTTGGTCAGAGTAAATACTGATGAGAAGTTTCCCTATCTGGTTTTGCCCATTCTGTATGAATGATTATTTTAGCAATAGCTTGCAGGAAAATTCTAGGACAGCAAGAAAATCATTATGTACACTAAAAATGTCATTCCAGAAACAGGAAACATAGGACTTTCCTTACTCTTTATTTACTCTCTGGTCTTAAACAATTCATTGTGGCTGGAAAGTATATGAGAAATGACAAATACATTTTTTGGTACTTTTCAAATCCAGCTAACCTTAACATTTATATGACTACAAGGATCAAAAGCATAATTATAAACTATGTTTATAAGAATTTCAACTTTTACAATTCAAATTTATTTTCATTTTTAAAGTAGACCAATACATCTTTTAATTGAAGAAACCTAAGTCATCTAATATTTAAAGAAATGCCTAAGTCTTTAGTGTTGTATACTATTTAAAAAAATGCTTTATCTTGTGAATGATAGGTTAACTAGGAAGATTTTATTTGTGTCTTTCGTTGTTTTGTACATCTCAAAAATTAGATTCATGTTAATTTTGCCACAAAAATATGTTGTGCTAATAAATCTCTAGGTAAATCTGTCTTTGTTCTTGTCAGGGGGAAAAATAGCTATCACACATATTTAGGCATTCTAAAATGTGTTTCCAGATGTCAAATTCTTTCTGGCCTGTGATTTTTCCTAGATGGTACAAGTTTTCCTTTGCTATTTTAACAAGATAGATTTAAGTAATACAAAATGATGCAGAAAGATATTTAAAGAATTTGGTTAATTGACTGATTCAAGAATAATTTACTTCCATCAAGTGATAAACATACTTACATAAATTGAAACCACACAGAACAAAACCAAATAGAAATCCCCAAGCCTTCAATCAAAGAAGCTGCAATTTAATAAACATTTTTGATTTTTTTTCTTAAATTAAGTAGACTGGAAGAGAAAATGTGATGTGATGGGAAGGAAGTTAGCGGGACTTGGCGCTGGAAGATTGGAGTCTTAGTCTTGAGGCTGACGTCACGTGGCTCAGCCACCTGGGAGCTTTGTGGTTCAGGAATTAACAGAGACGACTTTGTCTGGACACAGAACCCTTCGCTTACTTTGAGATCTCCATTCAAATGCTACGCCTGCAGAACACGATTGACTGATGGAGACTTGGGAAGGTCTCCATCCCATGAGTTACGCCTTCATATTGGATAACAGATAATTCACATTTATATTTTGAGTCATTTGCTTACCATTTACCTTGGCCGAGAGACTACACCTTCCGTGAGGCAGGAAATGTGAATCTGCTTTGGTTTTTGTTTTGCTCACAGTGTTTTGCTCACGCTATTTTGCTCACTCCCTATGCTTCACTCAGTCCTTGGCTTGTGGGAGTAACAAATCTTCATCGTAAAATGAATAAGCCAATCAATGAATACTCGCTGTTTACGACAGACATCCCTTTTTTATGTGGAGGAAATAATCAATGTTTAGACAATCAGCCATATCTTTTTTTTTTTTTAACCCATTCTGTATGGCTACCTATGTATATCTGCTGTTCCAAGGAGCAAATAATAAACTTTAATGTTTATTTTCTTAAGTTGTGTACTTTCGTATGTTCTCTTTTTAGGAACATCTTGCCATTGTGTCATTTATAATTTGAATGCCAAAAAGAGAGGGGTGAGTCTCTTTTGTCTCCCACCAGTTGCTTTTGTCCTGGCTCTGAAGCATTCGTGGAGGATGGTGCCTGGTTGGATGAATAACACGCCTCACCCTGTTTCCCTTTCCCATTCAACAACACTTGTTTTTACACTGACTCTCTGTGCTGTCCATGCTGCGCATGTCTACACCGGCCGGAATGATCATGTGATAACCTTTGGAAACTTGTTCCTTAAAGCATCATATAAAATGTGTTTCTAACATTCCAAGGAGCCCCCACACACATCATTTGGGCAGATGTAATGTACTCGATGAAAATTGTCCTAAAATATGGAAAATGATGGGGTTAAGGGACAAAATGAAAACATTGGTAAAAGATTATCTCTAGCTTGATCATTAGTCAGACTTTATTTTATCTAAAAGAGTTATTTCCCCCCCCCACTGGCAGCATTCTGAAATTTCAAGATGTGGTTATGATAAAAAATAAAACACAAAACAAATTATGAACCAACTCTTTACAACTACCTTCCTGAACAATAATGCAAAATGTCAAATGGGAATCTATCCCTGATCTTCAAAAGAGCTGGAATAATCAGTTCTGAATGGACATTTCGGCCTTTGTAACAACAGAGAATAGAGTCAAGTCTTTGAGGCTTTTATTGGGTTTAAAAAATATTCATATTATGGTCAAATTTTAACTATTTCTATTAGCAAGCATCTTGCTCTAGCTTAATATAAAGTCCTGGCCTTGTTTTACAACCTCAAGAACTGACTTTCTATTAATCCTTCTTACTTATTCTCTATATTTCTTATTTTTTTATTCCATGTTCATTCACATCAGAAGTGATAGGATATGGCAAGCTAAAGTAACCACTATAAAAATTTTTTGTCATTGTAGTCAATGCAAGAGATGTGTCCTAAATTTTTAAAGTTTATCCTGTAGTAAGGAATCCGGAATTACAAAAAAGTTGAACTTCACAGGTGTTCTGATGTTAGGAACTAACATTCTTCCTTATTTTTCAGTAAGGTGTGGAAGATGAAAAAGTAGTTGACTTTTAATAAGCATTGGTCTTTTCTTTTGTATGTTTTTGCTGGTCACCAGAAATATAATTAATCTATCTATCTATCTATCTATCTATCTATCTATCTCCCTATCTATCTACCTATCTTTTGATATCCAATGCTATTCCTGCAAGAAATAGCTACCTACCTATCTTTTGATATCCAATGCTATTCCTGCAAGAAATGTAAACACTTTTCAAATTCTCTTTCTTTTTTACCTGGCTCTTGATTGTAATATTTTGGAAAAACAAGCAAAACCCCATTCAGATGAAATCACAGTGTCGACAGTCCCCTGGAATGCTGTGAAACTTCCTAGCAATTTACTTGCCAGAGTCTAGGAGACAATTTTTTTTTTCATGGTGTAGGTATATAAGTGTTTAGTGTTTGTTCTGTTCATAACTAAAAAGATTTCCAGCACTCAATACAAACCTACACAGTAATATATTCTGTTTAATAAGAATATTTACCTAAGCCCGTAGTTAACCTTACGTGAGTCATCTTGTGAAGTGGCAAAAATCCAAGATAAGATAATGTTTGTGAACCTGCATGGACTTATGTTATGCTACTGCATATATCTAAATGCCTGGGAAAACAATATTTTCATATGGAAAAGTTAAAATAGTACATCTTTGGCCATTTTGGATTGGCCAAGGTCATACGTAGTTTAAAAATATTCTGTGAAAGGAGAAAATTTCAGCTTATTTCCTGAAACCAGGGATTTAGAAGGTGAGTTGTATTATCTGATAAGAATGAATATTTTATATTCCAAAGCAGATCACATTTAGGATTTTTTTTTTTTTTACTGCTTACAAATGCATGATGAATCCATAAACTCGGAGAAATATTAAAGGTAATCTCATTCAATCTCTTTAATTTTAAGGACAGGAGACTCCTTGAATTTATGTCTCAATACTTAATGCCCCAGCAAAAGGCTGTAGAGGACACATGCGAAAGCTTTCAAATCACCTTAGCTGGGTGCTGTTATGAGCTGTCTCTGAAGAGTTCATGGGCCGCACCATTTACAAGCCCCTAAGCCCCACCGCATACAAACTGTTCTTTGCCACACTTCTGGTCTGCACAGGAATCTCAGGCACGCAAAGCATGCCGCAAACACTAATTACCTGTGTATATGTGAAGCACGCAGGAGAGCAAGACTCAAGGAAGACAAATATTAGCCCCACTTGGCTGCGATGTCAAATAAGATGTAGAGGCTGCCCGTTCCTGTCCCAGGTGTCTGGAACTTGGGGTGGCTCCTGCGTGCCTTCACCCACTAGACCCACACCATGGTAGCTTTCCTCACCGTCTTGGGAAAGG